AGTTAGAAATAAAACCTAGCAATGTAGCTCATATTTCTCATCTCTTCTGCTGCTTTGATACTCTGCTGAATGGGGAACGTGCCTTGAGCCTTATCAAAGGCTCAGGTTGTTAATCATCGTCGGAGGAGATTCTGAAGGCTCGACCGGAGGAGTAACTCGGTCTTAGCGGATGTTCCAACAAGAGTCTCCCCTCCTGTTGCAACCAGCTCCCATCCCCACTGGTCTCCTAGAACATGCAGAGAAAGGAAAAGAGCAGAGCAAAGGGGGGTTGTGTGTAGACATAGCCTGAGACTGGGTGGGGAAAACCCTGGAGAAGGGGACCCTGAAGAGGACCTTCAGTCCTCACAACTGCTTCAATGGGGCTAGACCTCCTCAGCTGTGGAAGAAGCCGCTCGGGCACCTGGGGCACCGTGCCCAGGGGCAGGGCAGGGCGGGGCAAGGTGAGGGCAGGGCACACTGCAGGGCCTCTGGAGTCTGCCTGCCTCCTTCCACTCAGCCGCCCTACAGCTGGCAGGGGGAGGCAGCGGGCGGACCATTTGGGCAGCACGGAGCCTGCATACGCCCAAGCCACCACATCTCTCCCGGGAGAGATGTGTGGCTCGGGTGCGCTGCAGGCCCCGGGGTGAGTGCCACCCGGCATTTTGTCACCCCCCTCAGTGGTGACACCCGGGGCAGCCTGCCCCCACCTTCCTCCACCCTGGACCTCCTAGAAAGAGTAGCAGAGGAAAGGTACATTTTACCACGTGGTGGAATTATTTTTTAAAAAATGGTAAATGATATACAATGAATTGGAAAAAATAACATTTGTTAAAAAACCAGAAGCTTTGTTGTTAGGTATTTTAGGACAAGAGTTGCTGAAAGAAAAACAGACATTATTTATGTATGCTACAACAGCTGCAAGAATTTTAATAGCACAAAACTGGAAGACCGGAAAAGTACCATCAAAAGAACAATGGCAAGAAAAGTTGATGAACTATGCAGAGTTAGCAAAGTCAACGGACAAACTGCGTGAAAATGACAATACAGTCATACCTCGGGTTAAAGTCGCTTCGGGTTAAATCTTTTCAGGTTGCGTCCCATGGACTGCAAGAAGATCAAACGTATCCAATCAGTCCTGAGTGCTCACTGGAAGGACAGATCGTGAAGCTGAGGCTCCAATACTTTGGCCACCTCATGAGAAGACTGGAAAAGACCCTGATGTTGGGAAAGATGGAGGGCACAAGGAGAAGGGGACAACAGAGGATGAGATGGTTGGACAGTGTCGTTGAAGCTACCAGCATGAGTTTGACCAAACTGCGGGAGGCAGTGGAAGACAGGAGTGCCTGGCGTGCTCTGGTCCATGGGGTCACAAAGAGTCGGGCACAACTAAACGACTAAACAACAACAACAAGAAGAAATAAACCAATTAATCAACTGAAAGGAAAATGTTCAGTCAACGATACTTCAGTAAATGTTTACTACAACTAGGATGATGATGATTTACATTTTTTATTGCACCCTTCCTCCATGGTAGCAAATTCTACAGTGATACAAAAGGCTATGGAGAAATACAATTGCAAGTAAAACGAAAACATAATTGAAACAATGAAAAATATCTAAAAACATTTTAAAAGATTAAAGGTGCCAAAAAACATATTACCATCCATCGTGCTTATTTCGCTAAGCATGGACATGTAAGTGCTGATGGGCCATGTTCTAAGATGGGCACGGGGAACCTGTAGCCCTACAGATATTATTGGGCTCCAATTTTCATCAGGATTATGGGAGTTTTACTTCAGCAACTTCTGGAGAGCACAGATTCCTCACCTGCGCTCTAAGATAAGGGCTCACATAGAAAACTTTGTCCCTCCCTTCCCCACATATCTCACAGTCTTGTAATTCTAATAATTCTTAAATAGGCAGAAATGCTATAGCAAAATAAAGTATTGAAAATGTAATCTGCCTATTGCAGGTATGCCTGCCAATGAAATGGCTGTGAAAAATGTCCTTTTAAGCAAGATAAACTACAGGATTTTTTTTTTTTAAGGTTGACTGATGCTTTCATACATTTTGAAACTCGGAGATGGATAAATTGTGTGGTTGATTCATAATGACATCAATTACACTTATGGTATGGTAATAATTCACTCCTTTATTATTATTTATGAGGTGATTTTAGGGTTTTAAAAAATGTTTTATGTTTATTGATGTGTTTGGTTAACACACACTTAAACGACCTGGTCAGGTGCTTTTGCAGGATGCTAGAGAATGGTAAAATCAATACATTCTGCACCCGAGAACAATCTCCTTAGTTTTGTAGTGCAAAATAATGATTCCCTGTGAAACATCCCAGGAGCCTCAAAAGATAATTGCAATTCCACACAGTCAACAGTCTGCTCAGATCCATATAATCACTCTCCTTAGCAGTTTTATATTTGTTTGCGATCTTTCGCTTTAATGCCTCTTTTATTCATGGTGATCCAAATTGGCTGTTGTTTTTTTAAGAAAATTTAGGAAGAAGGAATACCAATCTGGAGGAGAGCAGAGAAGGAACTCCTTGCACAAACTATTACAGCCTGCAACCCTATTCACACATTCCTGGGAGAAAGTTCATTGAATTTGCTAGATTTACATATGAGTAGACATGCCTATGATGCATTGTTATTTACCTTTTAGTATGTCTTGGATGCTAACCTCTGAAAAATGAAAAGCTGTGACTTTGTAACCTAAACATTAGACTAAGAACACTTACACCATATTTAAGGCTGTATAGCAGTTACAAATGCTTCGGGTTACAAACACTTCGGGTTGCAAACTCCGCTACCCGGGTTGCCCCAGGATGAGAACGGAAATCGCACGCCGATGGCGCAGCGGCAGCGGGAGGCCCCATTAGTGAAAGTGCGCCTCAGGTTTAGAATGGTTTCGGGTTAAGAACGGACCTCCAGAACGAATTAAGTTCGTAACCCAAGGTACCACTGTATTAATATTGTGCCACTTGAAGCAACTAGATGCATAAAAACTGACACCTTTTTGAATAAAACATTTACTAGGCCCATAAGTATTGTTCAAAACTTTACTAACCAGAACTTCTTTAAAAACAGGTACAAAAGCAATCAAGGATACATCCAAATAATTCCATCAGACATATGGCTGTCCAAGGTCTAGGTTCATCTACTTAGAAATAAATATAGTGGTACCTCGGGTTACAGATGCTTCAGGTTACAGACGCTTCAGGTTACAGACTCCACTAACCCAGAAATAGTACCTCGGGTTAAGAACTTTGCTTCAGGATGAGAACAGAAACTGTGCTCCGGCGGCGCGGCGGCAGCAGGAGGCCCCATTAGCTAAAGTGGTGCTTCAGGTTAAGAACAGTTTCAGGTTAAGAACAGACCTCCGGAACGAATTAAGTACTTAACCTGAGGTACCATTGTACCTTATAATCAGAGCTAACAAACATAGCTCACTCTCTCTCACACACACATGGGCTCCATTAACCTACATTCCAGCCCAAGACTGTTGAGCTCCTTGGAGAGACATCATATCACATCCTTCTCCTAATGAGCCTAGGAACACCGAAAATAGCCACCACCGTTCCAAGATGGCAAATTTGCAATTGAACACCTTCGTCACATGATCTCATGTTAAACACTCAGTTTAAGAGCAGAGAACATCACAGCTAATTACAAACTAGGTTAGAGCTCAGAAAGCTCTCAGTGTGATGCCATGGAAAATCCCCAATGTTATCAATACACATTCAGGCATTTTCCATTTCAGTGTCAATTAAACAATTATACTTAATAGAGACTCCCCCTCTCGTAAATAATTTGCAAAGTTGATCTTATGCCCCTCCTAGCTGCTACCAAGAAACGTGTCTGCCAGAATCTTAAATGGTATAGCCAGATGGCATCATATAACTACAATTCTAAAAGATCTGAATTGAGTGTTATTTTCCACCATTTTCGTTCTGTTTTGTAGACCTTTAATGAAAGCTTGTATGTTTGCAAGACAGAAGCACACATACAATATATGAACTTCCTAGGCTATTTCATTTCAGTCCTGTAGAAATTGAAGGAGCGTTGGCTAGTGTGTTCTTAGTTCCACTCTGTGGAGGCCTGAACTAAAATTACGGCTTGAAAGCAAACGCGGTGACCTTTAAAGGAGTCGAGAAGAAGCTATTTCCAGCACATTACTAAATGCTATATTTTAAAGGTTCTAACCTTATTTGCTACAAGTGTATAATATCAGGAAAACCTTGTGAGCGAAGGTTCTGCATTCATCACATGGCCCAAGTCACTTTACAGAGGAGATGGGGGAAAGTTATTACATTCCCACTTCCAGACACTAAAGTTCAAGCCCCTTTTCCAGTTGCGTTTTGCTGCATTAAAGAAGGTTCAGGGATCACTTTCAGAATTACAGGCTTCTTGACCTAACAAAAAATATATAAAGTTTCCAAGAAATAGCAATGACTGTGCCATCCCGGAGAGCAATTTACGATTCAGAGACATACCCCGAAGAGCTCCTACAAAGTGTTAACCAGACCAGCGTCTATTTGATATCTTCAAAGCATAAACTTTATTGAGCAAAATATTGTTTTATGTGGATTCTAATAGAAATTGATTTATAAGGCCTGGTTTAAAAGTAAAAGATGGGCAAGGCAGGAGACATCCAAGCTGCAAAGGCCACCCTTAAAGCAGGAGTTTAATTTCACTGAGCAGGTAACAAGAGATGTGTTATAGAGCCTCGTTTAATGTCTGACACTCCACAGAGACCTCAAAGCCGTCATGTTGCGATGCTTAGAAGAAGCATAAAGTAAAATATAAACTTCACTTCATTTATTATTGTTATCATTATTTATCGATTTATATCGTGGTTTTTGTTGGCAGGACGGCTGGTTCCTCCAAATAAATCAGATCTCATAAAAAAAAGAGTCATGGCAAATAAAACATCAAATGCAGGCAATGACAACAAGTGGCAATGAAATGCAAAATATGTGCAGAGGAGAAATAAGCAAGGTTTAGAGGAGTGTGTGTGTGTGTGTGTGTGTGCGTGTGTGCGTGCACATGCTCACTCACACACACACACACACACATTTCTCCTAACTGAATCAGCAAAGTAAATATTGCAAGGTCAAACATTTTACCAGCCAGACTCCAAATGAGAAAATGTGCAAGGCAGTGAAAATAGTAAATAGCAGAGGTGAAAAATGTAAATATAAATCAATGGTGGTGGGTAATTTCCACAATGGATTCTAAACATGAACCAGGGGCAAAAGAAAAATTCAAAAATAAATCACAGTTTGGAAGGTAGCAGTAAAGTTTTCAATTAAGTTAGTGTGCGCTAATTAGAGAGGTAGGCAGTTCATAGATCACTACTGACCAACAAAGCAAAATAGGGCTTACAATTTAGAGTATTTATTTACCGCTTGGAGTGTTCTTGAGCAGATGCTCACATTTATGCTGCATTTGACCCCCAGCTAATTGAGAACACATTAGTTTCAGCTAAAATGTTGGTAGCTTCCAAAGGAATTCAGTGAATACTCCCATTGTACAAGTTACTAGATGGAGTTATTAATTAAGAGAAAAACCCAAAGCATCCCCTGAGAAAATAGAAATTTTATCTATTATGGAATGCTCTTGTATGCTGTCGGATGAGCTATCATTCTTTAAAGGACGGTAAGGTGTGTCATCATTTGGTAACAAGCTTTTCATACATCATCAGTCATTTTCTTTTTAACCCTATATTCTTCTTTGATATACAATTGACTATTTAGCTCAGATGTGTGCAGAGTGTGATAGATTAGATAGATAGATAGATAGATAGATAGATAGATAGATGATAGATAGATAGATAGATAGATGATAGATAGATATAGATAGATGATAGATAGATGATAGATAGATAGATAGACAGATGATAGATAGATAAATGATGATAGATAGATTGATAGATATAGATAGATAGATAGATAGATAGATAGATAGATAGATAGAGATAGATAGATAGATAGATAGATAGATAGATAGATAGATAGATGATAGATAGATGATAGATAGATAGATAGATAGATAGATAGATGATAGATAGATAGATAGATAGATGATAGATAGATAGATAGATAGATAGATGACAGATAGATAGATATTGATAGATAGATAGATAGATAGATAGATAGATAGAGATAGATAGATAGATAGATAGATAGATAGATAGATAGATGATAGATAGATGATAGATAGATATACTGGTATTATTTAAAAATCAGCAAAATCATGAAAGAAATAGACATTTAACAGATTACCATTGTGGTTTTGCGAAGCTACCCATCAAAGTAAAATGAGGATTGTCTTGCATATTCTGAGAGCTAACTTTTCCTGCAGTACAGTGGTACCTCGGGTTAAGTACTTAATTCGTTCTGGAGGTCCATTCTTAACCTGAAACTGTTCTTAACCTGAGGTACCACCACAGCTAATGGGGCCTCCCGCTGCTGCAGCACCGCCGTACCACCGTACCTCGGGTTACAAACGCTTCAGGCTACAGACGCTTCAGGTTACAGACTCCGCTAACCCAGAAATATTACCTCGGGTTAAGAACTTTGCTTCAGGATGAGAACAGAAATCGTGCTCTGGCAGAGTGGCGGCAGCGGGAGGCCCCATTAGCTGACGTGGTACCTCAGGTTAAGAACAGTTTCAGGTTAAGAACGGACCTCCAGAATGAATTAAGTTCTTAACCTGAGGTACCACTGTACTAGACCTACTTATCTTAGCCATTTATCTCAGCGGAACTTCCTCCCATTCAAACTGTAGGACTGTACTGTTATATAGGAAACATTTTCACTCGTTGTTAACCACACTCAGCATAAACATCCTATACAAGCTTACCCAGAAGACCATCCTACTGAATTTAAGGGCAATCTAGTCCAAACCCCTTGCAATGCAAGAATCTCAACTAAAGCATCCCTGACAGATGGCCATCCAATCTCTGCTTGAAAACCTACAAGGAAGGAGAGTCCCCCACTTTCCGAGGAGTCCATTCCACTGTTGAACAGCTCTGTCAGAAAGCTCTTCCTGATATTTATTTGTAATCTCCTTTCTTGTAACTTGAAGCCATTGCTACTCCTAGCCTCTGGAGCAGGAGAAAACAAGGTTCCTTCATCTTCCATGTGAAGCGCTTTAGATATCTGAAGTTGGCTATCCTATCTCCTCTCAATCTCCTCTTTACCTGACTAAATGTACACAACTCCCTCAGCCGTTCTTCATAAGGCTTGCTTTCCAGACCCTTTATCATGTTGATCTCCCTTCTCTGTGCATGTTCTGATTGTGTTTTTCGGCTCTGTTGCAATATAAGTACTGAAGAGGTAAAGGTAAACCCCTGACCGTTACCGGTAAGTCCAGTCGCGAACAACTCTGGGGTTGCAGCGCTCATCTCGCTTTACTGGCCGAGGGAGCAGATGTATGTCCACAGACAGTTTTTCCGGGTCATGTGGCCAGCATGACTAAGCCGCTTCTGGCACAACGGAACATCGAAACCAGAGCAGCGCACAGAAACGCTGTTTACCTTTCCGCTGGAGCGCTACCTATTTATCTTGCACTTTGATGTGCTTTCGAACTGCTAGGTTGGCAGGATCAGGGACCGAGCAACAGGAGCTCACCCCATCGTGGGGATTCAAACCGCAAACCTTCTAATCGGCAAACCCAAGAGGCTCAGTGGTTTAGACCACAGCGCCATCCGCGTCCCCCACCTTTCCTTAAAGGTAAAGGGACCCCTGACCATTAGGTCCAGTCGCGGACGACTCTGGGGTTGTGGCACTCATCTCGCTTTATTGGCCGAGGGAGCCGGCGTACAGCTTCTGGGTCATGTGGCCAGCATGACTAAGTCGCTTCTGGCGAACCACAGCAGCACACGGAAACACCGTTTACCTTCTCGTCAGAGCGGTACCTATTTATCTACTTGCACTTTGATGTGCCTTCGAACTGCTAGGTTGGCAGGAGCAGGGACACCTAGGGTATTGGTACCAGTGTGGCACTGTGGTTTGTTCACCAATTCCGAAATATGTCCTTTGCTTCCCTAACTACCAGAGGGTGGGATTCATCTAAATTCCTGTTCTGTTGCAATGATTTAAAAACTGCAATAGGATTTCCCCTTCTCCTCCTCCTATGTGTGCTATGTACCATCCCAAAATCTTCTGCGGAAGGTTGAGCTAATTATAGGCTGTGTTAAGGAAGTGTTTTCTCTTGGTTCCTTTCCATTATGCTACCTATAAGTACAAAAGGGACAAGTTCGATGGGATCTTGTCTGGCCTGGGGATTTGCAGAAAGCTTTTATTCCTATAAGTCTTTGAATCAGCTCCCTTTGAAATGACAATCATTCTATTAATTTTGGCAACATTAGATCATACTTTTAACAAGTAACAGGTCCTGGGCACTCATGGAAACCGCAGATACATCTTCATAGCCCTTGACCTTTAATGGTGCAATGAGATAACTAAAATATATGTTAGACTGAATAATGTCATGCCTCCCTACAGTGAAAAAGCCCAATATTGATTTCTTTCTATTATTTACTCCTTAGCTGGCAGTAGGTCAAACAAGCCAATCTATGGGTAGATTCAGATGTTTTCAAACATCATGGAAGTCATTTAGCAAAGGTGTATGGGAGGATTTGTGACTGGGACAGGTTAGGGCAAAAAGCAAAAAGAATTAGCTTACACAGTCTTACCTCGGAAGTCGAACAGAATCCGTTGTGAAAGTCCGTTTGACTTCCAAAACGTTCACAAAACAAAGCATGGCTTCTGATTGGCTGCAGGAAGCTCCTGCAGCCAATCAGAAGCCCTGTCAGACTTTTGGCTTCCAAAAATAGTTCGCAAACTGGAACAGTCACGTTTGCGACCTTCGGGAGCCAAAACTAAGCTGTTCAACTTCCAAGGTACGACTGTAGAAACAAAAGCCTTGGAGAATAATATTGATATATTGATATATTGATATATTGATACTGAAGCCATAGGTGGCCTGCTCAGAAGCACTCAGAATATGCACAAGTATGTGTTTGTGTCAGTCCATACACAGATATAATATCCTGTGGATGTTCACCCCCAGAATGCAATCATAGGAGCACCGGGCAAGGTGATCCTAAAAGCACCAAATATTGTGGTGTAATTGATTCTTGAAGTTTTATTGATGCCATTTCTGTGTCCTCCATAGCAAAGCATTAATATGAATTTAATAAATAAATAAAGGTGCAGCAACCACATTGGTGAAAGATGCATTACCTGTAGTGATATACAACTTCCACCTTACCCTAGCAGTATAGAAGGACGTCTACATTCTGCGCAAATGTGCTCTGAGCATCCATTATTTCCAGTGGTTGAAGAATCATCAAGTAACGTCAAAGAAATTCCATGGAGATTACTGTGAGTTCACAATGAGAGACTGGAAAGACCACCCAACTGAAATTTATTACTGAATTCCTCAGTTAAACCCACCATGTGTGTAAGTGCCTGGGAGAGAGAGAAAAAAAATACTATTCTATATTATTTAAACTAAAAGATCTGGTGGATGCACTACTAAATAAAAACTAAATACTCTGAGTGATTTCCTCACTCTCCTTTTACAGAAATGATTAAAAGTGATATTGGTACTTTGTAATAAGCTGCTGAGATAATGCACTTGCTATCAAATTTCACCAAGCTTCATGTTTGAACATCCTGGCGTGGATCCCTCCTCACAACCATTCTTTGTACTAAAGACCTCTCATTGACATTGTAATACTAGCTGGGAATTAGCTGGTGGCCATTTCTGAAGATGATGATTTTCGTAAAACTTGTATACCCATTGCCTTTCTTTTTTCAAAACCCATCATTGTATCAAACCCATGTTGGGAAGTTAAATACTCAAGTCACCCCATTAGAGAACAAAACTCAGTTCCGCCACCTGCTGAACTAGCATTTGAGGGGTGATGTTCTAGCCTAGCTATGGATACAGCCCCTTAAACACTTACTTTTCCACACACCCCTTTCTCCACAGTGGGATCTATTTCTGAGTAGATATGTATAGGATCACATTGAGAGCCATCTTCCTGACTTGCTGGTTTTGA